TCTCTGTCCTGTCTGTATCATGTCAGTCAGTCACACCATTACTTCTGTGCCACTGAAAATTTAAAATTTAAACAAACTTATTAAAACAACTGAGAAGACTGAACACAGATGCCACCAAATAGAAAATCATATTTTGTAGATTACAAGCTGCAAGTAGTGAAATCTGCAGCTTGGAAATGGTAATCGAGCAGCAGAAAGAAAGTCTGGAGTGAGCGAAAAAAGTTGCACCATGCCACTTTCCTGGAAGTCATTGAAAATGCAACTTATATGTTTTTATCTTCTTCATTACACATTTTTTGGCTGGTGTAATTTATACTCCAGAGTAGGGATGGGCATGATTAATCGATAATTGATCATTAAGAATTTCATCGATTACGTTAATTTTAATCGACAAACCGAATGTAGGTTGCTGTGCGTAGCGTGACCAAACAGGGGTCCGTACATGTAGCTCTCTGCACTCAGAAGGAGCGAGACACAAACAGTCGGTCAGTCTGCAGCGTACCAAAGCACAAATGTGTATTTAACGATGATTTGTACATGAAATTCCACGCTTTCTGTTGCGTTCGGGACAAGTGGGAGTCCATGTGCACAGTGTACAAAGCAGGAACATATGTTTCGGTGTCCAGTGGGAAAAAGCTTTGCCAGGTGAGAGTCGCGCAATGTCAATGACGAGTCCCCACCTCCCTCCCCCCGTACGGTGTCCTGGTTTTGACAAAAGCAAATACGGTCACACTAACCTGTATTCCACTGAATCATGTCTTTTAATCCAACAGAAATTGACCGCATCAGCGACACAAGAGCTGTAGTTTTATCTTCGCTGAATTTATGCAAATTAGCGATGTGGTTTTAAGTTTCGTTTCTGTGAGAGTTGCGCAAAACTGAATTAAACACATTATAATGTCAAACGGATTGATGTGGCTCTAGAGTCGTTACGGTTTATATGTCGTGAAGTTGAATTTATTATGCAGATTAGTAGTGCAGATAGTAATAATAATGATGATCATGTTAATATAAAAACGTTAATGATTAATCGATAATCGATCGTTAATTCTTCCGACGATCAATTAAGAAAATTTCATCGAATGCCCATCCCTACTCCAGAGTGACTTATAGTGCAAAAAATATGGTACTACCACTACTACAGCTACTACCGCTACTTCTATTACTAAAGCCACTACTACCACTACTGCCAGTACTGCTGCCACTACTACTACTGACAGCAGATTTTATGTCTCCATTAAAAATACCCATTTAAAACCACTAATTGCACATCCCAAAAAACTATATTATATTAAGTCCCAGTTGTAAACTAAACCAGCTATAAAATGGGGTTAAACCAGAATGTTGCACCTCTTTATATAATGAAAGACAGCCTACAACACTTCAGTGTTTTTGCAGAAGTGAAATACAAGGGTTGGATTCATAAATAAACACTAACAGTGGCCTGTTCCTTGTTTGAGTTAACCATTAAACTCCTGATGCGCTTTTGGCTTTTCTGAGATAAACTGAACTAAACAAACAGATCCATTCATGAAAATGAAATATGAAAACTCTATTCAAATCACAACTACTGATACAGCAGTGATTGTGAACTGTGAAGGGACTGCTCAAAAGATTCTGTACCCAGGCAGGACTGGCTTATTAAGACAAAATGTACACGAATTCTTGAAAAAATACATGAAAATACCATCAGCAACCAAGGGAAACTTTACTAAAAATTCTAAATTTTTGCTATGTATCCTTTTCAAAGCTCAATAAACCTTTTACTTGTAACTTCGAGGGGGCTGAGAACTGTTAGAGTTTAGAATTTATTTGAAGGGACAATGTATAGAGTCATTAAAGGAGAATTGTGTAACTTTTCTGGTGGAGGATCCGTCAAATGCTTTTGTCTGGTATGTTTCATGGTGTGGCATTAAACCCTTCTATCTTCATGTAGACCAAACCAGGCAAAAGATCTGTGGATATACAGATTACCTCTTTTTCTAGGTACTTTTGAGGTATAAAAGTACCTGTAATTGAATAAATGTAAGGCAGAGCTGTTTAATGTCATACTGTGGAACATTGCAAACAGAGCAGTGACACCTCCATAGAAACAATACAGTGACGGAGGCTCAACCGAAAAGTAACATAGTCCACCTTTAATTCAATGAAAAAAAAAAAAAATTCTGGTCTGTATTACATTTAAGATAAATTGAAGTTTCCAGATGCAGTCCCTGCTCGCCTTGAACAAATTAGACAATGAAATTACATCCTGAATGGAATATATATATATATATAAGTGAATCAAAACCAGGATTACACGGCCAAATTCAGAATGTGGTAAGAATTCTGTGATTTCGCAAAGTAGTTATAGTTATTTAGATGGTTATTTGATCTTATTTATGTTATTAATTGATTTATATGTAGATTATTCTGAAAGGTAAGATTGGAACTTGGTACAGGGAGCCCAGTCGATGAAATCTGCGATTCATATTTTACTAGAAATCACACAAGAATCACATTTCAGAACATGTTTGTACAGATCTAAACTACAGGTTTAGCAGCTTTTATGCAGAAGAAGACAGGAGATTTTGTTGTTTATGGAGGAAATTACGACTCCTCAAAAATTGTAGTCTTTGTGATGTGATAATTGCGTCCATTCAAATTGTGATTTCGATTGCGTTTAATCTTGCAGCTCTACTAGTCTGGAACAACAGTGACAACGAAATAAGTCAAACTCATTCCTGGAAATGTTATTGCTTTGTCTGGAATTTTTCCACAATATGGTAATAAACTTTTATGGAGACCAAACCAGTCCAAGTTCAGGCTAGATCTGTAGAAATGTGACCCCGCTCAAAATCAGAAGGCATGATTTTCTAGGTATTTTTGAGCTTTATAACTACCTATAATTGAAGAAATGTAAACTAGAGCTGTTTAATGTCATACTGTGGAACATTCCAGACAAAAAAATTACATATCCGTAGAAACAAGCAGATGACGGACCCCCAACCAAAAAGTTAACCCCTTTTTTGAACGGTCATCTGGATTAGATCATTATTATCTTGACTTTATTGACACTGGACGACATCACCGGTCAGAGGCTAGTCAAATGTCAGTTTTGTTTTTCTGCCCACGTTTTCAGGTAAACAAGGGAAACTGCTTTGGTTTAAAACAAGAAAGTTAGTAAAGACCACAATATGCAAGAAACTAGCCTCTCATGAAAATACATTATGACACAATAAGGAAATCAACCCACTGGTCTGGACTTCCTTAAATTTCATTCAGAATTTTCACATGACAAAACTGGCTGAATTCCCGATGTCTGGCACTCTTAGTTGGTGTCAAAATAAAAAGTAGTTTTCCATTTATATAATCAAAATAAACACATGTTCTGCCATTGAAAAAGTATTTGAAAAACTTGAAAACTAAGTAGTGCTGCAACATTTTCCAAAGTCAACTAAAGTCATACCTTTTTAACCAGATCGTAAAAGTAAAATTTGCTGATTTGAGGCTTCTAGATAAACAATATTCACAAATTCAAGTGTAGCATGGTTTCGTTTTTGCATTTTTTATGTAATAATCAGTATTTCTCATCAACACAGGAAGCTCTGGTACTCTCCCAAATAGTCTGAAATCCTCCCCCATTGTCTAAAAACAACCAGGACTATATTAGCATAACAAATTTTGACTTTTTAAAATAAGTTTCTGATAATGAAATGAGTATCGGAGACTATACTGGTCAAAAATGAAAAAAATGGCGATGATAAAGATTTGATATAGGCTATGTCATTTCACCTCCACAGATTGAATGAGATTAAATAATTCAAATAAAAATAATGTATGCTGCCATAATTTTAACAAAATCTATGAGAAACAATGATAATGCTGCCGTCTTCTTTATAAAGAATCTTGTGCCGTGTGTTTTCTTTCAAGTCTGAACAGTCCAGATAATGACTGACTTCTAATTAAAACAGTAAACGATTATTTTACTGGACAATTAGTCATTATGCTGATTATTCACCCTACACAAAGTTTGCATTGTTCTTGAAAGTACTATTTGTTGTCATTAAATTATAATTACAGGCTCATATTACGGTATTTTCTATGCTAACCCTGTTCTTCTCTCAAACAGATAACACGCTGTTCCACCTCGTGATGTCATGTGGTAATACAGGAATCACTCCACCACGTTTTTAAACTCCATACACCTTCACTAGAATAATTTGGTTCAATTTCAGCCCTGGAATTGCCAATCTCTACTGAACTAAAAAGGTAAAAGGTAGTTGTTAACTTGAAAACTAGGTGGAGCATTTTGAGCTTTGGAGATGGACGCAGACTGATAATAGAGGGTTACTCAAGCATGTACACCTTCATTAAAATTATTTTGTTCATCTCAACTCTGGAATTGCCAGCCTCTACTGAACTAAAACGTAGAAGGGAACTGTTAACTTGAAAACAAGGTGGAGCAGAACATTTTGAGCTTTGGAGATGTACACAGACTAATAATAAAGGGTCACTCAAACATGTACACCTTCACTAGAATTATTTGGTTCAATTTCAGCCCTAAAATTGGTGATCTCTACTGAAGTAAAAGGTAAAAGGGAGCTGTTAACTTGAAAACTAGGTGGAGCATTTTGAGCTTTGGAGATGTACACACACAGTAATAATAAAGGGTTACTCAAACATTTGTGAATGAAACAAAACACAACACACACTGTTTTTGAGGAGGTAACATCCTACCATGGCTTAACGCTCACATGAGTCCATTAGGTGTAATATAGGATCTTTAATACTTGTCAATACATGTTTGGTTACTCATCCTTGGTCATGGCTGACACTTCCTCACAAACAAAAGGTGTAGCTTAACTTCACAGCAGTTTTAACACTTCCACTGTTGACATGTATGACCTGAGGCGATATTTTCAACTTTCTGCGACTTCCTTGACATCATTTCAAAGAATCCGAGACATCTGACCCCGTTTGTGATCTGAGTTTTGACGCTCTCCAAACCGCAGCCTTACCTTTAGCGCGTACTTGTCCCCCGTCTTTTTCTGAAATATCTCCAACACTTTCCCGTTGATCCCCAGCCCCAGGACTTGGCTGGTCACCTTGTAGTCGTCCGTGATGGCATTCTTCTTTATCTGTAGAGTGGGTCTGGTGTTGAAAGCCATGAAGGGGGCCGAGGGGTTCTGCTGCTGCTGCTGTCCGCCTCCCTGGTTCTGTTGCCCGGCTTGGTTCGGAAAGAGCGGCTGCTGCTGGTTCTGCGCGTTGGATAACATGCTACAGATTGAGTTATTTCTCCTTTAAAGGCGTTTATCTTCACTATAAACCAGTCCAAACAATACTGCCGGGTGAGGTGATAGTATACGCGACGTTACAGCTTAACAAAGTCACTTGATTTAGCGTCACAATGCTAAGTTAGCTCGCCGTTAGCATGTTAGCTCGGTCCTATTCTTGACCTGTGATTTTAGGCTAATCACTCGAGCTAACAGTTAGCAGCTCCATCTCCCCCGCCGGTTTCCTCAAAAAACACGTCGATAACTTTCTCAAATACAGTCCCATTCACTCGGATCCACCGCGGGTTAAATGTAGACACGTAAAGACATGGAATCAAAGCTACAGGTGTAAAAGAAAACGTGTCGATTCTGAGGTAAAAGTGGTTTAGTCGGAACACGCCAGACACTGGACTTTCGCACAGACGCCCCAGCGCAGAGCAGGTTTCAGCTGACGTCATGGATGGGTTTTTTTTTTCAGCTTAAAGCAAAAGTGACAAAAGTGCAGGTGATCTCTACAGACGAGGTGTGAACAAACTGTATACATGTACCGAGAATACGTTTAATAAAGGGTGATCAGACTTTCAGATTTAAAAAACTGGGACATACCTAGGTTGAGATGGTTGGTATAAATAAAACTGTGAAAAGAGCACGTAACAGTTCCATCCCTCCAGTTCCTTGTAGACTTAGACTTAGAGACTTAGACTTAGAGATTAACTTTATTGATCCACAAGGGAAATTATTTGGACACAGCAGCTCACAGACCACAATACAATATAATAACAAAGAGTTAAAAAAAATATAAATGGTAATAATAAATTCTAAAAGATAAGTAGCAAAAAAAAAAGATAGCATATTTATAAATGTGAACGTACAAGTCAAAATAAAATAGAAATATAAGTAATAAAATATAAAATCTCAGCTATATACAAGAGGTCATAGGAAGATGGTGCAACAATGATATGATTATTGACAGGACATAGGGTTATCTGTTCCATAAGGGTGAGTTGTTGTGCTGTTGTAGGGAGTATTATCTGTTATATAAACATGAGTTGTTGTACAGTTGTAGGGTGTATTATCTGTTACATAAAGGTGAATTGTTGTACAGTTGTAGGGAGTATTATCTGTTACATAAAAGTGAATTGTTGTACAGTTTTAGGGAGTATTATCTGTTACATAAGGGTAACTTGTTTTACAGTTGTAGGGAGTATTATCTGTTACATAAGGGTGAGTTGTTGTACCGTTGTAGGAAATATTATCTGCTACATAAGAGGGAGTTGTTGTAGGGAATATTATCTGTTACATAAAGGTGAGTTTGTGTACCCTTGTAGGGAGTATTATCCATTACATAAGGATGCAGTTGTTGTACAGTTGTCGGGAGTATTATCTGTTACATAAATGTGAGTTGTTGTACCGTTGTAGGGAGTATTATCTGCTACATAAGAGGGAGTTGTTGTACAGTTGTAGGGAGTATTATCTGTTCCATAAGGGTGCAGTTGTTGTACAGTTGTAGGGAGTATTATCTGTTTGTCTATAGTCTGTTGCAGTGGGTGAGTTTTTGTACAGTTGTAGGGAGTATTATCTGTCTGTCTATAGTCTGTTGCAGTGGGTGAGTTGTTGTACAGTTGTAGGGAGTATTATCTGTTACATAAACGTGAGTTGTTGAACAGTTGTAGGGACTATTATCTGTTACATAAGGGTGAGTTGTTGTACAGTTGTAGGGAGTATTATCTGTTACGTAAGGATGAGTTGTTGTACATTTGTAAGGAGTATTATTGTATGAATGTAGTCTCTCACTGTTTGAGCGGAGCTGTAGGAGCCTGTTGGAGAATGAGCTCTTCTGTCCCTCTATAGTCTGTTGCAGTGGGTGAGTTGTTGTACAGTTGTAGGGAGTATTATCTCTATAGTCTGGTGCAGTAGGTTAGCAGGAGTTTCCAAGATGGAGAGCAGTTTGTCCAGTGTCCTCCAGTCCCTCTCTGTGACAAATATCTCCAGCTCACAGTCGATCATGTGAGCAGCTTTACGGATCAGTTTGTCAATCCGCCCAGTGTCACGTTTACTGGTGCCGTTACCACAGCAACACATGGGTAGAAGATTTTGTCCATTCTTGACTCAGTCATAATCTGAAGGACTTTTGTTGCATTTTTTATTTATTTATTTATTTTTTTTTTTGTCTTATGGTCATTTTCAAGCATGGTTTCTATATTTTAATTAAACAAATGACAATATATCCCCCTCTTCACTGTTGGATAGGATCAAATTGGTCAGAAATGGGAACAACTGGGACATTTCTTGGATAAAACTGGGACAAATCACTGGTTTTGTATAAATCTGTTGGGACAGGGGACACAGGACCAACAACTAGAACTGCCCCAAGTAAACAGGGACGTCTGGTCACCCTAGTTTTATGAATGCTATTTTTGAGTACAAGTAAAGCCCAGTACACTTTCTTTTTTCTTTTGGTGGTTTTCAGAAGGCAGTTACTCTAAATTCATAGGAAACAATGTCATGCATCACTATTTAGGCTTCAAACTGTACAATATTAGAAGAGTTATTAATTTATAAAGAACTTAAATGATCGATCTGAATCAATTAATTACCCCTATTGTATTGTATGTATTGTATTATTTGTGTATACTATTGTTCATTTGTTTGCATGTATGTATGTTTATTATAATTTGTATGTATATGCAATAAAGTAAGGAAAAAAACACTACTCTTATGTTAGTGATGTGCAATTTTTCCTTCTCAAATTAGTAATCAATCAATGCATAATAAATGGTCAAACTAACACAATGCTTTTTTACACTACACTTTAAATGCAACTTAGTGTAAAAGTATTCTAAGTATTGAGAATACAATAACTACAATACAGTACATGATTCAGTTGGCTTACAGTTGTATTCGAACACTTGGTGAACTTTCCGTTGTCAGTAAACAGAAATTAATGGCTCTTGCAACTTCCTGCAACATTTTCAGGACATTTTCCATTCAGACTCAGACTTCAACTTAGATAAACTTTATTGAAGCACAAGGGACATTTTTTGGACACAGTAGCACATCACAATATATTATAATAACAAAGAGTAACAATATAAATAACAATATAAATAGTCAAAATAAATTCAAAATAAGTAGGAAAAATAGCAATAGAATGGTGCCAAATGAGGCAAAATTAAAGTATAGTACTACAATAAAACAATCTAGTCTATATACAAGAGGTGACTGTTAATCGCTATGGCAACAGTGCTAAATTCTCATCATACTGAAACCCAAATATTTGCCTACTTGTTGCATAAACATAGCCCAAATATAAACTCATCAACTGGAGATTACGTTCTGGAAAAATCAACTTTCCACACAGAGCACAGAGACATGATAGGCTTTAAACATGTTTTAATACCCTTCCTTACTTCATTATTAGGACATTTATAGATGCATTAAAACATATTACTCACAACTGTAGCTGACCCAAACATTCTTTTTGTGTATGCCATTTTAACACCATGAATCTGTCTGAGTGGTCAAAGTGTTGATTGAATATGAAGATTATGGTTTGCTTTGTTTTTAAGTGTAAAGATGACTGTTGGAGTATTATCATGTAGGACCCAGAAAGTTTGAATTACCGTATTTTTCAGACTATAAATCACACTTTTTTTCATGGTTTGGGTGTTTCTTGTGACTTATACTCCGATGCAACGAAAGTTTAAAAATTTTCACACTGACAGCCGTGAGAGGCTCTAGGCTTGTGTGTCAGTTTTCTGCACATGTCTCCTGCAGAAAAAGCCTCTGTCCTGCTGCAAGTAGTGAAATATTCAGCCGAAAACGATAATCAAGCAGCAGAAAGAAAGTTTGGAGTGAGCGAGAAACTTGTGAGGAACAGGTGGAAAGCGGAGATGAAGAACATAGTTTCACTGTAACTGGGTGGGTGCGCCATGCAACTTTCCTGGAAGTCATTGGATGGATCAACAAAGCCTGATCTTTAGTGACAACTGAAACCATCCTGTCGGGATTCAGAAAGGCCGGAATAATTCTGACGACAGCTACGCAGAAGAGGAAGCGATGCTCCGTTTACCTCCGGACTAGGGATGGGCATGATTAGTCGATTAATCGATAATTGATCATTAAGAATTTCATCGATTACGTTTATTTTAATCAACAAACCGCATGTAGGTTGCTGTGTAGCATGACCAAACAGGGGTCCATACATGTAGCTCTCAGTACTCAGAAGGAGCGAGCAAACAGAAACAGTCGGTCAGTCTGCAACGTACTGAAGCTCAAATGCATATTTAACGATGACTTGTACAAGAAATTCCACGCTTTCCGTTCCGTTCGGGACAAGTGGGAGTCCATGTGCACAATATACAAAGCAGCACATATGTTTCAGTGTCCAGTGGGAAAAAGCTTTGCCAGGTGAGAGTAGCTCAATGTCGATGACGAGTCCCCACCTCCCACCCCCTGTATGGTGTCCTGGTTTTGAAATATGGTCACACTAACCTGTATTCCACTGAGTCATGTCTTTTAATCCAACAGAAATTGACCGCATCAGCGACACAAGAGCTGTAGTTTTATCTTCGCTTAGTTTATGCAAATTAGCGATGCGGTTTTAAGTTTCGTTTCTGTGAGAGTTGAGCAAAACTGAATTAAACACATTATAATGTCAAATGGATTGATGTGGCTCTAGAGCGGTCACAGTTTATATGTCGTAAAGTTGAATTTATTTATGCAGATTAGTAGTGCAGATAGTAATAATAATGATGATCATTTTAATATAAAAACATTAATGATTAATCGATAATCGATCATTAATTATTCAGACGATCGATTAAGAAAATTTCATCAAATGCCCATCCCTACTCCGGACATTGCGGAGTTGCTCAGAAATGACACCAAGGATGAAGAATTCAATGGATTTAGTGATTTGGAGTGAGATGGAGAGTTTGGTAAACTTGTTCTGTTGTTTATGCTGTAATTATCTGAAGGACTATTCATATGTGATGTTAACATACCAGATGCCTGTTCAGTCTGTTGTTCTTTGTTCTATTGTTATTACTATAACTTGCCTTTCAAGATGAAATGTCGGGTCCTGGTCTCTGATTTTATAAAATAATTTTCCCCCAAAAGGTGCGACTTATAGTCCTGTGCGACTTATATATGTTTTTTTCTTCTTCATTCCACATTTTTTGGCTGGTGCAACTTTTACTCCAGAGCGACTTACAGTCTGAAAAATATGGTAAATAAACAGAATGTTAAATTTTTATTATATAGATTGTATTTATCTGTTTGATTATTGCCAATATCTGTTCATGAGAGATACTTCATTGACCATGAGCTAAATTTACACTGCACGTCTCAGTCACTTTTGTGTCTTAGTCAGAGGTCTCAGGTGAGTTTAACAGGAGGACTGGTCAGGGAGGGACAGCAGATCTGTGTCAGGGCAGTTTG